TAAAGCTGAATTCCATGAAACAAAACCTCAGCAGGGCTACACATGTGTCGGTTAGCTTTGCTCTTCAAGCTGGTGCTGATAATCAGAGTTGTGGGTAAAAATGACGAACAAGACAAAACGAAACTTGCTTTTATCAAGTTTGAGTGCCAGTGGGGACAATGGGCAGTCTACTGAGAAAAAGATTGTAAATGAGATAAAAGATGCATGACTCTGTAATGCTGCTTTACAATGAGAAGGTTTCTGTAGTTCCAACAACTTCAACACAGTGAGATACCGTCTATAGGAAGCGATCGGCTATTCGCATCATGACGAGTTCAGCACTCAGAATCTCCCACATGTATTCAGACTGTGTCGGGTCAACCTCAGTCTGATCTTCGGATGAAGTTGCTATTGGAAAATGGATCCTTTAGGATATAAGTATCTGGAACTCCCAACTCGTCAGTCAGAACTGATGAAGCCTCTTGGATGAGAGGTGGAACGTCTTGAAGGAATTCAAGCAAGTCCAGTTGCTACGATTAATCCAGGAGAATAACCGTGACCTGGATGGCTGAGAATCTTCACAGACAAACCATTGGAAAATAAGTTGTGCTAAAGTCAGCAGGCTGTGCAAATACATATTCACTCAATATTTGATATCTTCTGCTGCTATAAATACAGTATTTCTGATGCCTACGGAGCATCTGTGGTACAAACATTTCTTTGAAGAGCGAGTTGTGATGAAAGAAGTCTATTTATCTATTCAGTCTCCAAATTATGTTCTTCAGAAAAAAACAGAACAGCTGGCTCAATAGCGTACCTCCAAGCATGCACCGTATATGTGCTGAGATTCTGTAACAAGTCTGTTTTCCTACAGTAATTTGTTATGTTGTTTTGTTGTAGATCTGTTTCACTCGAACACGGACGTGTCTCTGATCAAACACAATGATGCAAAACAGACAGGTTTTCATGCACCCACCCCTCAAAGTCTTCCCACGCCACTTTTTGAAGTCATGTGCAATTTTCCTCAATTCTGATCCTGGAGTTATAAAAGCTGAAACATGTAAATGCTGTAAGGATCCAACCTGATGTTGCTGGTTAATAACAAAAATAAAATAATATGTAAAAAAAAGACAGAAAGGAACTAAATTAAAGTCAAACCAAATTAAAATAGTGACGTAGATTTAAGCAAGTTTGAGTAAATATATAAAGGTGTAATGGTGCAAAACTATTATGCAGAAATCCATCCATCTATTATCTATACACCGTTTAATCCTCACTAGGGTCATGGGGGGCTGGAGTCTATCCCAGCTGACTCAGGGTGAAGGCAGGGGACACCCTGGACAGGTCACCAGTCTATCACAGGGCTACACTTAGAGACAGACAACCAAGCACACTCACATTCACACCTACGGACAATTTACAATCACCTCAACATGTTTTTGGACTGTGGGAGGAAGCTGGAGAACCCGGAGAGAACCCACACTGCACGGGGAGAACATGGAGACTCCACGCAGAAAGATTCTGGGTGCCCCGGGATTTGAACCGGCGACCTTCTTGCTGTGAGGCAACAGTGCTACCCATTGAGCCACCTTGCAGCCCCATCACAAAACATGTGCTTTACATTTCGACATTTATACATTTCAGCTCCATGTAAAGTAAAGATGAACATGGTTCCAACATACACTCGGATTCAGATTCAGTTTTTGTTTTATTGTCATTGTAACAAGTACAACGAAACAGAAGGTGCAGTCCTTTCAGTGCAAAAATACAAAAATATAAAATATAAAAATATAAGAACTTGACACTTGAAATACTGTGTTTTAATTTAAAAATGAAGAAGATGAAACATTTCCAAGCTCATTGTGATATGACACATTCATCGGTGACTTTTAGGGGCAAGCTGAAGACGCCTCATCATTTACATCAACCAAGATGTCTTTCAAAACGAGAAATGTGTAAACGTACGACATATAACTTCAGCTTCAGAATGCGACAGGAACGACCTGCAAACCAGCGAACACACAGAGTCTGATGCAGCCCTCTATCTCTGATCACGAGGTGCACAGGTTAAAAACAGAAAGACGCAGCCTGGCTCGCTCCTGTGCTTCACGTTCCATCAAAAGGACGTGAAGCGGCTCATGTGCATGCTTCAAACTGAAAGAAGTAATATTCTCTGCATCTGCGGCAGCCAACTAACTCAGTTTACTGTGATCTTTACATGCATCATGCAGCCTAAATTAAACTACAG